TACTGTAAGGGCACTTTTGGTGGATTTCATTCCCCGCGTCGGATAAGCAGGCTTTGCATTCTTCGGCCGAGAGGCCTATGCTACATAGCGCAAGCCCGTGTACTTGGTTGTTGCCTTGGCCTTTTGAACCAAGAACAAATCCCTTAGCATTCATTTCGTACTTTAGATAGTTCATGAGCTCCTTCGTGTTTGTTCCATAAGAATCATTGGATTTGCAGGAGAAGTTATATGAGGTTGAGCAAACGGAGTAAAGAGAGCCGAAACCGCTTTGAGGAAGGAAATAGGAAGTTAGAAGACACAGGAAATAGGTGAAGAACTTTGAGGAAGACATATTGTTTGACATGCCAATATGTGGTTTGAGCTATACACGGACAATGTTGTGTGTCTTTGTATATATAGAATATGATATGCTATGTCGGAGATTATTTTACTTAAGAACAAAGCTCTTCTGTTAGAATAACATTAAATTGCAATTCTCATTTTAGCTACAACAAAAGAGAGAGGAATAAAAGAAGGTTGCAACATGGCCTTTTGGCTGCATGTGATTGGCAAGTTTGTGCAATATTTTGGTAAAGATTATGTGTCTAAACTGTGTCCATGTGAACGGAAGGATTAAAGTAATTAACACTACTTACAAGTGATGTATATGTAAAGGAAATAAAACAAAAACAGTAGTAAAGGTATTTAAAAAGAAAAAAAAGGAAATAGTACTAAAAAGTGAAGGCATTTCTTGTTGCAACAATATAGCTTATTAATACTAGAATTTTTTCTTTAAAAAAAAAAAAAGGGCTATTAGTACTAGAAGTTGAGTGCAAGTGTTGCTCAAAAGTTTATAGCAAAAGAAAGATTTGCAAAATATGAAGAGACAACTAACCATAGATGAATCTCAAAAGATAAAAATTCTTTTCATTTTAGAAACAGCTCATCATTAAGTAGTAACTAGTCTCATATTTAGCTAGTGTAGTATTATTTATGTTGCTGGACTAAGGATACTAGTGGTATTTAACGACACAAATAAAGAGTAGGTCCCACAACACGATACTCATAGATGAGATCCACTATTTATTAATTGTGGTGCTCAGCAGTTTCTTTAAGCATTTTTTTTTTAAACCTTGAAGATCTATGTATATAGTGCAATAAAGTGCATTAATGGAACAAATAATGGATCGATGGATTGTCTTCACTAAAATTACATACACACATGAACATATCACGAGGCCTGAGCACGCGCGCGTACAGTATGAGAATGCACACACTCTTTTTTGGTGTGTTTTTTTTTTGTCATTTTTTTTTATACCATTTTTAACTTTCCTTCAAATTTTCAATGTTTAGCTTGTCAACTCCCTGATCAAATATGAGAATCTCCCAACAAGTACTATTTTATTGTTAAATCAAAGGAAAAATTCATGTTAAAGATCACAAGCAAACCATGATGCAAACTCACAACACGCGAGTGATTAAAGACAAATCTATTAGGCCATTACCTAAATAAATAAATATATATATGTTATTATCAATGTGACATTACCATGGTTCACACAATATATGATGATTAATCCCACAAGATTAATAATTCTCTAAGGGTAGAATTTGTAGACTTCATATCTTATGCTGCAACTGTAATGACCGAGAAAATCATAAAATTAAATAATGTAAATTTATTTATTTATTTAAGTCAATGATTTTTTTCAGTAATATACTGTCATATTTTGTGACTGAAAGATTTATGGAATTAATATCAATATTCTTAAATTCTGTAGTAAGTTTTATGATTAGTTCATATTTTAAGAACCAGTGAATTCAGTTGATAAATTCTTACCGCAATTAAAGCGGAAGAATTCTCAGTGCATATACAATTGGAGACCCCTAATCTTAGGAAGTGTAGTATAATGTTAGTAGCGTATAGAGAAATGCTTTGACATTTAAAGAGAAAACTCTTAAATTCCAAACAGATAAGAGGAAATTAAAGGGGTGGTGTTTCAGTAAAGAAATTCAGATGCAATATGAGTTTAGAAGTTGACAAATTCGGGAACTGAAATTTCCTGCCAACTAAGTAAATTCTCAAAAGATAGTATGAAGTAATAAGAATAGCTATAAGAATAGAACATTAAGGGGTGATTACCAAGTGTTCACAAAACCTTGCTTAAGATGACATCAAGTAAACAATTAGAAATTTAAGTTATGTAAGATACCGTTACCGAATTTCAAACTGCAATAAAGAAGGAGTGCAGAATACTGTGTTAAACCCACAAGTGGGCCAACACATGAATCTTAAGGTTAAGAAGTGAAAAAGGATTGAAAAACATCAATTTTAAGGTTTTAGAAATGAACAAAATGAAAAACGGACGAAAGATGGGTCCGGAAGGTCGAATCGAGAAAATTAGGGTTTTGACTGATTTAAGTGGACCGAGTCAAAGTTTGTTGACCAAGAGTCAACCAAAACGTCACTCTCAAAAAGTTAGTCAAGAATGGTCAAAGTTGACTAAGTCGACCAACTGTCCGAAAAACGCAGATAAAACACGTACTGGACAGGAAATTAAGCTGAATCAAAATAGGATAATTATTAAATGACCAATGGTTGAGATTTAAAGTAACTTTTTAGGTAAAGGGCTGAGATCATGCCACTTGCTCAGTGAGGTGGCCGGCCAAGCTTGTACAAGAAGCCAAGAAATGAGATATTTTGGTGAAATTTTACAAAAAGGTCCCTCAAAAGTGTCAAATTGCATTTTAGTCCTCCCACTTTATTAAGTCCGGTTTTTAAGAGATAAAAATATCCCCAAATGTTCATTTTTTATGTCAAAAACCGTGAGAGTCCATCCAAGAGAGAGAAGAAGAAAAAAATTACCAAAGGTGAAGAAAAACAAGTTTTAAGCGGGAATCGATCGAACTACTGAGGATTGGTGATTCCGGAGTTTGTTCTTCATTCTTCTAAGGTGAGATTCAGTTTTCCTCTCCTTTTTTTTACCTTGGCTGAATGGTTTGGATGTGGTAGAGATTATGAAGAAAGCTTGCTAAGTTGATGATTAAGTTTCAATTGATGAAGGAATTGAAAGTTTAGTGTTTAAAGGATGAATTTGTGGTTGTTAGATTATGTTTCTAGCAACTTTTAGATATGAAAATCCTTGTGAGAAATTTGATGGAACCCTAGAGTATGGTTCCTAAGTTGATTAAATTATATGAGAAAGATTGTTAGCTATAATTAGAAGATGAAGTAACGGATAAATCGAGCTAAGGATAGCTCAGGAAACACAGAAAATAAGGCAAAATTCCGCTGAAATTTAGTTTGAGAATTTAAAGTTAAATCTAGTTTTAGTTCTAGAATTTGAGGCTAAACTTAGTTTTAGCTCTAAATAGAAGTTTTAAACTATTTTCTTAGAAAACACTACATAACTATTAAAATAGTTTTGGTGTTGAACAAAGGAGTTCGTTGAAAAACTCGAAGTATAATCTCAGAAAAATATGTCAATTTCAGACTTTGCTAAAAAAAAGTAAGGTAATTAGGATTCAATAAACCTAATCTTTAAATTAAAAAAAGGTTTTACAATCCTAAAGATGGGAAAAGAGAAGGGGAGCCATAAATAGAGAAGTTAGACTTTCTTCAAGCTTGCTAAAATAGAATAACAAGTGATAGTTAATCTCACATTCTTAATGGGTGTTAATTCTCATAAGCAAGAAAGAAAGAGAACAGACTCTTTGGCGAATAGAGGATTTCACTTCCTAAAACAGGTAAGTAGGAATCTCGCCTACAGTATAAATAGATTTTAAAATAAACAATACACATGAATTATACGTGTTTGAGTACAATTCATGTTATAGTATGCTATGCTATGTCATATTACATACAGTTAAGTAGTGCACATGAATTATATGTGTTTGAGTACATTCCATGTTATAGTATGCTATGCTATGTCATATTGCATACACTTTAATAAGTCAAGAGGAACTTATAAGAATAATCTCAGTTGAGTACCACACCAGCCTCTAAGAGGGATGTAACTCAGGCTCCGCAAGGAGAAGAAAAAAAAAATAAAGTCCTATGAGAGCAAGGCATTCATTTTAGTTTATAATTACGGTGTCGTTGGGGACCTTGCACACCATCACGTCTCGATGATTATGCGCAAGTGGTATGAGCACTCGGGCCCATCAGTCAGTAAGATAAGTTCAAATAGTAAAACACAGACAATAAAACTTTGATAAGACATCATACATCAGCATAAGCAGTTCATGCATATCTTTTATGTGAACTTTCAGTTATTTTGCGAGTAATAGTTCCTACTTGTTGAGCAAAAGCTCATTTTAGAGTATTTATACAATAGGTAAGCAACCTGCACATAGTGTTTGATGGACTGATGGCATGGCAGCGGATGAGCGAAGTGGAGGTTGGGGAATGGATACCACACGCAGTTATTTCCGCAACAGTTTAAGGTTTTAGAAAGATTTTGTTGAATATGTCTATGAACTTGTATTTTGAAAGTTTGCAGTATAATTATTAAGTTTGTGTAAGCTAGCAGGATTTTGAGAAGTACAAATATAACTATGTGTAAATTCATGCTTTAGAAAAGGAATTGTTTTTGAAGTATAAACACTTTGCTATGTTCAAAAGTGGAAACCAAAATTTATATCATTACAATAAGTTTAAAAAAAATGATATAGTTCTTTAAGAGAAAGAAATTTGTGCTCAGAATGCTACAACATTCTATACAGCATTTTAAAGAAAATACTACAACATTTTATATAGCATTTTAAAAATAAAATGCTACAGCATTCATACAGCATTTTAAAAAAATGCTACAGCATTCTAGGTAGCATTTAAAAAAAAGTCTCTCAAATTTTAGGAGTTTCAGAAAATATATGTTTAAAATTAGTAACAGTGACAGCTATTCAGTAGGGTCGTTACAGTTAATATCAAAACACAGTTATAATTATGTAACGGCCACGTAGTCAGGGTCGTTACAGCAACTCTCAGCAAGAACCCTCCCTCCCTGCTTCCCAGCATAAAACTAAATTTTAGAAACCGCGCCATCAAGGCACTTTCCACAGTCAAAGTTTGAGAGATCTCTCCTGCACTTAGCCAATGCATAGAGCCTGGTGGATCCATCCACCTGTAACTCCCTCGTCGCCAACATCCTCGCTGTTCGAATGATCTCAGCGGTGGTACTCTTCAGCAGCTGAGTCCTCGCCCCGTCAAAAGCCGCCGCTGCAGGCTGGCTCACATTCTGCTCCGAGCAGAAACCAACGCGCAGTTGGTAGTCCTTGACTTTTCCGAAAAAGCTCCAGTTGGAATATTGCAACAGACAGCTGTCATAGAGCATTATTGCCTCTTTGCTGTAAAGGCAGGTTTTGAGGATCTCATTGCCCGCCTCGTCAATGCAGCTCTTGCAATCTGCGGCCAAGACGCCATAGTTGCACTGCGCGATGCCGTGGACTTGTGCAGGACTGTGGCCTTTCGAACCGAGCGTGAAATCTCTCTGATCGTTTGCCTATTTCATAGTTGAAGTAGCCAAGGAGCTCTTTCAAGTGTTGAAAAATTCGGAATTGGGAGGATGAAAAGAATAGAGAAAGCAGAAAGAGGGTTTGAGGCGTATAGGAATACTTTCCTTTAAGGTTTTATTTGCCCTCACTTCTCAAAGTTTGCTAATGAGTTTTAAATGGCAAATTACCCCCAAGATACAACAAACCCTTAAACACAATATCCAGTAAAAAATATTGAGTTCCAGAACAATAATAATCTGTATTTTCTGAAGTCTATCAAATAAAGATAGGGATGCATCCATCCTCTTTAAGTGTTACAACCTTTCACATAAAGATACCTTTTCAATTTGAAGGTTATCTTTTATATGCTGATGCACTTATATCAATAGTTATTTCTATTGTTAATAAGTGCTCAGATATGTGAGCAAACATATCACAAATAGATGCAATGGTTCGAGACCTTTTCATATCACTAAAACACACAAAAACACATTTTCCGTTAACAATTTGCACTGCAGCGGATGACATTCACGCTGCAGCGCTCGGGCTATGCAAAACAGACCTGAGAGGTCTGTTTTGTGCGCGCTGCAGCGCGTCCGTGTGCTGCAGCGCACGCTGCTGTGCCCTGCAGCGCGCGGGCTTAGCAAAACAGACCCGAGAGGTCTGTTTTGCGCAGGCTGCAGCGCCCCAGCGCATCCGTGCGCTGCAGCGTACGCTCCTGCGCGCTGCAGCGCGCGCTTGTGTCCGTCCCCTCTTTCCGAATGTGTTTTAAGCCAATTTTGTGATATCGAAATTGAGAGATATATTACAATCTCTCTAACATCGAGTTCATGTCGAATGTGTCGTTGGAGGTGAAATTCCCATCTGTTGTGCAGTAGTAAGTTAGACTGCTTGCTTCAGAGTCGGTTTGGAGAAGAGAATAGAGAAGTATGAAACAGAGGAATGCGGTGGTGAACTTTAACGGAGACATTATTGTTGTTTGATGTGAGCAAGTTAATTTTTTGGTTTGAGCTTTGGACTATGTTGTTGCACATATATATATATATATATATATTAGCATTTATATACGTGGGTAATTGACTATATGTGCGTTTGACAAAATTTTGTGTCCTTTGGCTAGAGAGTGTAGCTTATTGTTAATAAGCAACTTTTAGAAAAGGTTGTGTACTTGAGTATTGAGGAATTTTAGGCATCGTTCGTTTTGCTGATTCGAGTTTAGAATTTGAGTTTTGCTACAGTAAAAAACTCTCACAAACAATCACATCTAACTTTTTTGTTACAGTAAAAAGCTCTCATATACAATCACATCTCAACTCAAATTCTAAACTCGAATCAGCGAAACGAATGAGACCTTACTGATTTGAATGTATGAAAGGGTACAAGTCAGTCGCGATTGTTGTTCCATTGCTAAGAGAAATGATCTTTTAGCAAAGGTCATGTGTAATTACTGTTGGGGGATGTTACTTGTGATAGTGTACAATTTGGTTCCACACTATTGTCCAAGTACTAAGGACAGTACCTCAAGCAAAACATACCAAGGAAATGTGGGCAAAGATTCTAAATTTTATTTTTAACCTTACAATCTCCTCTTTTAATACCATGTTAGTTTACCAAGTTTCTTAAAAATTTATTCTCTACTATATTTGGCACTAAAAATTATAAACATAACATATATATTTAATGTGTTATTCTATTTTGTATTCTAATACGTAATTTTATATATCCACTTTTTATCATAATTATTAAACTTTAAAAGTAGTAAAACTAGACTTTTGATATTAAGATAATTTAAATAACTGTGTTGTAAGAATTAAATGAAAATATTAACATATCAACAATAGCAATCAAATGTTAAATTTGACATTACATTTGCTATAGTTGATGTCAAATTTGTCACAAGTGTAGTATTCAGCAAATTTAGCTTCAAAAGGTATAACATTTGAGAGTAACTTTTCACTAAAATGTCAAAAATTTACTTTGGCACTTCAATTTATCATTGCGTCGGAGATGTTAAGAGGTTTTAGTTGTATTCTTGTCTCTGCAATTGATGTCGTTTTTTTTATGTTACTATTGTTCTAAAATTTATCTCGTTTTGTAAGGTTGTCATTTTACACGTTTTCTTGGGCCTGAAGTTGTCCTTTGTATTATTGTTCTTTCTTGTGATGTTGTTTTGAAGATTACTGTCGTTTATTGTTTGTGTCATTTTTGTAATTCATGCTGTTTCCAAGGTTCCCCGTATTTTACTGGTGTCGTTAGTGTTTGTTTTCCTTTTTGTTATTTTTGATAAATTAATAAAATTGTTGTTTAAGATCTTGTTTTTTGTGTAATTCTATATTTTTTGTCGTTTATCAGCTATGTTGTTCGATTCGTGTCATTACCTCAGGCGTTGTTTCTTTCTTGGGTTTCCTGTCGTTTTTTCACATTATTATCGTTTCATGCGGCAGTCGTTTTAAAATCAATGTCGCTGTTTTTACAATGTTGTCGTTTAAAGTTATCTGTTTTTTACACTGCTCACGTAAAAAGTCTAAAAAGGAAATTATTCTTTTCTTCTCTTTTAAGTTGAGTTTTAGACCTTACTACAATTTCTAATCTCAATGTCTAAAATGCAAAGTTTTCCTCTTGATACTAAACTGACAAATAAAAATTTACTTGAACCCGAATATTCTCTTAAAAAGTCTGTCAACGCATAGGGATGCTTCCTTTAAGGCTTTAGATTTCTCAAGTTTTTGAGCTCTCCAAAGAAAAAAAAATTAAAAAAAAATTAACTTGATTTCCAAGACTTGGACTAATAACTTTTCCCAATATCAATCATTCTCTTTATTCCTTGTAAGCATTAGCCTAACAACTCCATCTTGTCACCACTTTTTTTTATGGATGAATGCGTATCAACTCTTCTTCCTTGCATTCTCGAATTGCAATGTCCATTACTTTACTAGAAGAAGAAGTTAACACATCACAACATTGCCTTCTCGGAGCCTGCAACTGAGAGATCCAAGAGAGTATTAGACTCGGTTCCTTTCGTAAGCTTCAGAATAAAAAGTAGTGACGGAGCTACATAGTTGTTAAAGTATAAAATTATTGTTAACTCATCTCCTAACAGCTTAAGTTTTTAAGATGGATTGATAAACTAACATGATATCAGAGCGGGAGGCATTGAGTTCAAACTCTCGTAATTGCACTCTTTATTCACATTTAAATTGTCGTCATGTGTTGAATTTTTACTATATCTCGAGTTTAAATATTCACGTATTGAGCTTTTTAATGGATTGATAAATTAACAATAATAATGAGTGAGGCTAGTGCCCCTATTGTTGTCCCCATGTATGGAAATATTTAAATAGTTGAAACGTATCATTAGGCTTCCATTTCATAAGAAAAATTATTATTGTGTCCCCACTCAATAATTGAAATATAAAACTATATTTCATTTAAGAAAAAACTATCTCTAATTTGTTTAGAGTTCGCCCACCGAAAAAAAGTTTATGGCTCCGCAATTGATAATAAGCAATTGAAGTGAAAAATAAATAATGAACAAATAAATAAAGCATTTTGCAATTTGAGGAGATGCACCTGCTTGATGTCAAGTTCCAGCTTATGCGAAAACACTCTGATCTCATCAAGTTTTCTTGGCGAATCCGAGTCGTAAGAACAATTGACGTATGATTTTTGGTAGGTGGTCTTGATTCCATTCCATCCAGCAGAGGCCACATTGTCCAGAAAGAAAACAGTGGGCCGCCGGCAGCGGTCCGGGTGAAGTTCTTTGGTGGTGAGAGTATAAAGTCCTGACAGGTTTCCTGAATTTCTCCATCCCTTGAATGTCTCTGGCACATGAAGAACATCTGGTAAAAACACATGGTTTCCATAGATTTGAACAGCATAACCCCATGACACTACAATTGTCCATGAAAACCATCTGTCATAACAAATGGTCTGCTGTAAAAGCCTCTGTGGATCAACATTTGCAGCTTTGAAAAAGTGTTGTAGAGCTTTAGAAGCTGTCATGTTTGGGAAGATTGGATCTGTGTGGTCCAAGTGATGCAGTGATACCAAAGGCCTAACTGGATGTGAAGCCAATAAACCAAACACATCTCCGCGAATATCCAACTGCTCCAATTCGTATATCCCATAAGTGAAAAACAGAAATAAACAAAAACAAAAGTGTCAAAGTATGTCATAAACTGCTAAAAATGAACATAGCTATGACACAGAACATGAATCACTATAAATCTTACATAAACTTATATGTCTTTATTTTTATTGCTCTCGCGTTCGTGTTATTTCGCAACAACTTGAAAACAAACATGTCAAAAAAGAAACTCTCTATAAACTTTAAACTCATGTAAGCTAATTAAAGTGTTTGATACACATGCCTGATGGAAACCGGGCTCAAGAGTTAATCCAACACCAAGCTCTGCCAAGCAAGAGTAAATTCTAGAATCACTCCCATAGAGATGTGGATATCTCTCAAGACATGAATCTAAAACTTTAGCCAAAACTCTAGCTAGAGGGTAAGTTATGGCGAAACCCGCCCCTTGGAAAGCCATCCCAAACCCGAAATACCTGTTAGCCTCATAGAGTTCTGAGTTTGTCCCTATGTAGTACCAAAGCCCATGATCATACTTGGAGAGAGTCTTGACCAAATTCTCAGGGAAGAAAACAGTGTCATCGTCCCCAAACACAAACCACCTCACGTCCGAGTGATTGAGCGCCACCGTCTCCGAAACAACCCTTGCCACGCGTATTAATGACCGGAAACCGCCCCTGTAAGTGTAGCGAAACCACGAAGTGTCCTCGGATATGCACACGGGAGGAAGAGAAGTGTCCTTGGAGAGATTTTGATGTTCATTTGGCAGGCCTTGTTCAAGGAAAACGCAACCCCTCATCTGAGCCGGCTTCCACCACATCTTAACATAGTCCTTTCTCTTCAGCCAAGAATCCTTTGTGGAAGCAATTCCAAACACAATGTGTTCCAAAGAAGTCGGTTCATACATATGTTCTTGAGTTGATGAATACGTCTCCAAAAGCTTGGAACGCGCAAGAAGAAGAGCGATGAGCAAATAGAGTGTGCACACACATGATGATATGATCAGAAGGCTTGTCAAGCGAGAATAATAGTTTGATACTTTGGATTGTGACTGAGATAAGTACTGCATTTTTTTGTTTTTTTGGAGGTTGTGTTGTGAGAAGGGAAGCAAAGGAAAGGAAAGGGGAGGGAAGTGGGAAAAAGAAAATGGGTGGTTTTTTTTAGGTGATTCGTCGGATTATAAAAAATAAACTATTTTCAGCCATTAAATCTATAATAAAAACAGTAAAAACTGTTTTTATTTTTATACAAGTAAAAAATGTACACTATCAACAGAAGACGATACTGTAAAATGACCCTTAAATATAATAAATTGAGTTTTAGTCCACAAACAAGGTCTTGATTGTATAACTTAAAATGTGCAGGATGCGCAGTGGGCGGTACAAGCAAAGCCGACTACTTTGACAATGCAAGAAATTAATTATATCTCCACGTGTAGTACCAAAATATATGGTAGGTATTTAGGCATATTAAAAAGAGCCCATGGTCAATGAGAAATATCATTTACTTATGAAAAATAAAAAAAATAAAATAAAAAATAACTCTCTGACCATCATCCACTCTCAATTTTCTCCGGCGTGGCCCTCCAATATCGTCTGCTCTCCACCTGCGCAAGAAGGTCAGCTACAAAGTTCAAGCCCTCATCATTCATGATTCTTGTCGCTATTTATTTCTATTTTTATTTTTCTGCTGTTGTTGCTTTCCTTTTTCTTTTTCTTTTTTTTTTTGGTTATTGTTTTGCCAATTCACTTTTTAGGTTTTTTTTTTGGTTATTTTTGCCGACTCTCTGTCCCTTTCTATGAGATAGTTTTCATAATCCGTGACTTTGTGTCATTTTGAAGTACTTTTGTGGGCTCAAAGTGTACTTTCAATATTATTGTCATGTCGTTTTCTTAACATGTGTTCTAAAATGGTTGTATAATTGTTAGTCTCTCGAATTGCTGCGGTTTCTACACCTTGTTGTTGATTTAAATTTAGTCGTTTTTTAAGATTGTCGCCGTTCTACAGTTACGTAATGTTATTGTCGTTTCTTGTTTGTCCAATTTTTACGATTCATTTTGCTTTTTAATGTTCCAACGTACTTTAAATTGATGTCCTCCATTAGATTGTTGAGGTTTTCTTATTATTTTTTAAAACCGTAATGCTTTCAAATCTATTATCGTGTTTAGTTGATGTAGTTTTTCCAAGAATTTTTATTATTATTATTTACGTTGTCTTACGTCGATTCGTGTTGTTACACTTCAACCTTGTTCTGATTCCCTTAAGAGTACGTTTGGTAAGAAAGAAAAGTAGAAGGAATGAAGAAGGTAGAGGAATTTTAAGAGGAAAAATGAAAATGTAGGTTGTTTGGTAGGAGAGAAAAGAGAAAAGAAGAGAAAATTGAGTGAAAAATAATACATGTGGGCCTCATTATTTTTTTTTTTTCCATAAGTGGGCAGAAAATGGGATGAAAAATTGAGACAACTCATTAAAGTGAGCAAAGTTACTAAATTATCATTTTCTCTATCAACATCCAAGTAAAAAATTGAAGGGTATAAAAGTAATTTATGAGTAAGATTTTTTCTTTCCTCTCAATTTAACTTCTAATACCAAATAAGTGAAGGTAAGCTCATTTTTTTTTCATCTTCTCATACCAAACAACATAAAAAAAAATCAATTTTCTTTCCATCATTACTATTTTTCATCACTTCCATATTTTCTCGGTCTATCATATTTTCTTTACTTCTTGCCAAACATAGCATAAGAGTACTTTAACTAAAGCAAAAAGGTTTTTCACCTTTTCCCTCTTCTGTAATACTTGTAGGATTTTCAATTCCTTCTCCTCCTTCCCTGTTCTCTCTCTGTTCCGTGAGAAGAAATATAGTTGAGATTGAAGAAAAAAACCTTTACAAAAACGAAAAAGATATTGTTGTGATTTTCATTTGTCAGTGTTTCTGGGTTTTCAGTGAAGGTGTTTAGTTTTTGGATTCTGATGTAAGTTTTGAACGATTTGTTCTTGCCCTTTTTCTTTTTCTCTTTTTTTTTTTTTTTGGGTCAAGGTCTTTATTCTGTAGATAAACAATTGTTCTGTACTTCTCAGAATTTATAATTGGCTTGCTTTTATAATGCCATACTGGTTTTTGTTCCTAATTTACATTTGTTTTGTTTATTAAGCATGAGAGGACCGAGAGTCTTTTCAATTTGGGCACATCAACGTGCTTGTGTGCTCATTTTGATGTGAACGTTGTGAAACCATCGTCTTTTATGTTCTTTTCTTTAATTTTTTTTAACCAAAAGAAGAAGAAAAAGGTTTTTGATACTGCTGCGTTCAAATGTCTGGACCAGTTGAAGTTGCCCAAATACTCTGATTTTTGTTGGAACTTTTAAGGCTTGTTCAGCTATATTTTTGAATTATAATGATTTGAGTATAGATCTTAAATTAAATTTGAGTTATAATTTTAGTTAAAGTTGTAATTTGAATTGTGTTTAAATGTGCATATTTGAGTTATGATTTGAATTGAAAATCTATTTAAGTTTATGTTTGAGTGGGTCAAAACTTAAATTTATATTTAAATAGTATTTTAATAAAATCTCAATGGTGATGAAAAATTTTAATAGGGTATAGGTGGGGTTTTATTCGTCTCTTCATTGTGAACGCATAGAAAAAAATCATCTTTATCGGAATTAAAACGAAAAAGTTATGACATTTTTAAGAATAGAAAAAATATTGTTCATTAACTTGAATTTGAGTTTAAGAATTTGAGTTGAAGGGAAAACTTGAACTTAGATTTTAGCCTTAAACTCAAGTTAAAACTCGAGTTAAAACTCAAGTTCAAACTCAAATTTTGTAAACGAACATTAACTTAAATAAAGTTGTAACTTGAATTCATATTTTTTTTTATTTCACTCCAAAGAACAAGCCCGAATTGATTTCTACTTCCAATTTGTTTCTTCATGTTATTGTCGTTTCATGTGACTCTTTAAAAATATATGTCGTCTTTGAAAAGGCCTTTTATGGTCATTGTTTCTCAGATCTTCTTTATTTCTTTTTTTCACAGCTATATTGTTAATTATAGTTATTGTACATATCGTCTCCGTTTTTTGTTGGCGTCGTGTCGTTTTATTGGGGCGTGCAATTGTTCTGTTTCATGTCGTTTCTTCAAGGTATTGTCGTTTTTATGCGATTGTCGATTTGTAATCTATGTCGTTTGATAGTCGTTTTTCCGACCTCGCTTTTCACTTGAATATCGCCTAGTTGCTGGCGCTTTTTGTATTTCTTGTGATTGTCGTATTATTGCTATTACGTTGATATTACTTATAGATTATTGTCGTTTTTTGTCTCTAATGTTATTGATGTTTATTGAGGTGTAGTTTTCTCATTTTTACGACGCGCATTCTATTAAAATGCCGTTTTATATTTAGATTGTGATCGTTTTTCCCCAATATTGCTTTTCTCTTGCCCCTAATTTTATGAAACCGCCGCTTCATTCTTCTGTCGCTTTCCACCCATATTGGTTGATTTTTTTTCCCGCCCCATAAGACAAGACATACGATCTTGTTCATTTCATGATTCAAGTCATATTGTTACATAATATTTTCTTTTATAAAAATTTAAATTCAATTTTTTTACGTATTTTTTTCTCACATATACAAGTTTTGTGAATGACCAGTTAACTCCTCCTTCATGCCCTTTGAGTTTGGTTGATGATCCGCCAGTAGAAACTGCAAACCAAAACAGGTGATTCTGAAGTTCTTTCATTCTCTCTCTCTTTAAATCTTTTCTGTTCTTTGAGTTGGGTCCCAATCTTATCAAAAATTTTAGATCTCAATGCATTGCAATCTAAATACCAAATGTTCTCACTTTTTATACTAAAGTGACAAATAAATTTATTAAAATCTGGGATTGGTCAATTAATTCCCTTACAAAGGGCCATAGCTACTCTAGTATTAAAAAAAAAAAAAAAAAAAAAAAAAAAAAAAAAAAAAAAAAAACAAAAAAAAAAAAAAAACTTGCTTTACAAGTCTTGGACTAATAATAATGTTTCCCTATCTGTCATTCTCATTTTTCATGTGTAATAATTAGTTCAACAACTCAGTTTATGTACAATGTTGTATTAGCTTCATCCAATATCCACCTTTGTTTATGGATGCATGCGTATCAACTCTTCGTCCTTGCATTCTCTAATTGCAATTTCCATGACTTTACTTGAAGAAGAAGGCAAAACCTGGCAACAATGCCTTCTTGGAGCCTGCAACTGATAAGAAATTCAAGAGACTATGAAATCAGTACCATTAATCATAATTTTCATATCACTACTATTACAAAGCTTGATTGTCCAATTTGAGGACAAATACCTGCTTGATGTCGAGGTCTAGCTTATGCGAAAACACTCTGACCTCTTCGAGTTTCCTCGGTGAAGCCGCGTCATGAGAGCAATTGACAAACAATTTTCGGTAGGTGGTCTTGACTCCATTGTTTCCTGAAGAAGACACACTATCCAGAAAGAAAATGGTGGGCCGTCGGCAAGGATCAGCGTGAAGTTCTTTGGTGGCAAAAGTGTAAACTCCTGCTAGGAAAGGTCCCCTGGTTTTCCATCTCCTGAATGTCTCTGGCACAGGAAGAATGTCTGGCGCAAACACATGGTTTCCATAGATTTGAACAGCATAACCCCATGACACTACAATTGTCCATGAAAACCATCTGTCATAGCAAATTGTCTGCTGTAAAAGCCTTTGTGAATCAACACTTGCAGCTTTGTAAAGGTGTTGTAGAGATTTAGAAGTTGTCATGTTTGGGAAGATGGGATTGATGTGGTCCAAGTGGTGCAAGGATACCAAGGGTGTAACTGGATGTGAAGCCAATAAACCAAACACATCTCCGCGAATATCCATCTGCTCCGATTCACATATCCCATAATTAAGCGAAATTAGAAAGAAACAAAAAAACAAATATAGAGATCGATGCAACGGCTGAAAATAGACGTAGCTCTCACATGAGAATAAATCACCATAAAACATGTGTGTGAACCATTGTAAATCTTATGTGAACTACTCAGTGACCTTTCAGGTCTGTCTTTATTTTTATTGCCCTTTTTAGTATGTTAATCACAAACAATTTGGAAACAAACGTGTCACAAAAAAAAACTCCCCATAAACTTTAATTCATTTAAGCTAATTAAAGTGATTGATATGCATACCTGATGGAAACCGGGCTCAAGTGTTAACCCAACACCAAGCTCTGTCAAGCAAGAGTAAATTCTAGCATCACTTCCATAGAGATGTGGATATCTCTCAATACATGAATCTAATAATTTAGCCAAAACTTTTGCTAGAGGGTAGCTTATGGCAAAACCCGCCCCTCCAAAAGCCATTCCAAATCCGAAATACCTGTTCTGCTCATAGATCTCCGAGTTAGTCCCTATGTAGTACCAAAGCCCATGATCATACTTGGAGAGAGTCTTGACCAAATTCTCAGGGAAGAAAACAGTGTCATCATCCCCAAACACAAACCACCTGACGTCCGAGTGATTGAGCGCCACCGTCTCCGAAACAACCCGCGCCACGCGTATTGCGGACCGGGAACCACCCTTGTAAGTGTAGCGAAACCGCGAGGTGTCCTCGGAGATGCACACGGGAGGCAGAGAAGTGTCGTTGGTGAGATTTTGGTGTTCAGCCGGAAGTCCTTGCTCAAGAAAAACGCAACCCCTCATTTGAGCCGGCTTCCACCACATCTTAACACGGTCCTTACTATTTGGCCAAGCATTCTTGTTGGAAGCAATTCCAAAGACAATGTGTTCAAGAGAGGTCGGAGCATACACATGATCTTGAGTTGAAGAATATGATGCCTCCAAAAGCTTGGTCCGTACAAGAAACAAAGAGATGAGCAAATAGAGTATGCAAACAGAAGATGAAACAATGAGGATGTTTGTCAAGCGAGAATAACAGTTTGGCTTTGAATGTGACTGAAAAAACTTCATTTTTTTTTTCTTTGGATTCTTGGGATGAGGGAAGAAATTCGGCAAAAGGAATGGGATTTGTAAGAGAGATGTTGTTGCCCCTTTTTGGCAGATTAAGGACATAGGTTGAATTATAGTCCGTAAAGAAAGAAAAGTTTAAGGTCCGTTTTATTAAACTAAGTTCAGAATTTAAATTTTATTATAATAAAAAATTTTAAAAAATATAATTACGTGTTAATTAGAATTAAAAACTTAAATTAATTTAATTAAACGGACCTAAAATTGTACAAACTTTAAAGTGGGCACTTGGCTGCGCGATGCCCGGTGTTAACAAAGCGTCATATTTGACAATAAATTCATTTTCGTTCCACGTGTCGCACAAATACGGATGGTAGGTGTAAGAAATTATAAAGATGGTTTTTGGACAATGAGAGTCCTCCACTTAATGAATTTGTTCAGATTATATAATCCACAATGGCCTTGGGGTTAGGGGGACAGTAAGAAAGGGTAGAAATGGACTGGGTCTGCCTAATTTTTTTCTTCCATTGGTTTGATTTACTGAGTCTTAGGTTAACTGGCTAAGCAGCCTTTTCAGCCTTAGGTCACCAACAATTATTTAAAGTTATAATGATCCTAAAGGCCGTTTCTGACGTGACGATTTAAAGTATCACTTTAAGGAAGCTACCCGGAAAAAAAGAAAAAAAAAAAAAAAAAAAAAAAAAAAAAAGAGAGAGAGATTGATAGTGCACAATTTTGAGCTATTGAATTATATTATTAGCAAAAAAAAAAAAAATTTAAAATTAAAATAAGCAAAGGCTGGAGCTTCACAAAGAAATTTATTTTATGAAACAAGTACATAGAATAAGAAGAAATTTTATTTATCGCAAACCAGTGCAAACTAGTGTAGTAGTTTTTCAAAGTCATTGTTATATATAATAAACACAATCTTACAGTTAGACCGGTTCTTTTTTTTCTTTTTAACGAACCGCAGAAAAATCCAAGATTTTTACTAGTTTTTCAAAGTCATTGTTATATATAATAAACACAATCTTACAGTTAGACCGGTTCTTTTTTTTCTTTTTAACGAACCGCAGAAAAATCCAAGATTTTTACTAGTTTTTCAAAGTCATTGTTATATATAATAAACACAATCTTACAGTTAGACCGGTTCTTTTTTTTCTTTTTAACGAACCGCAGAAAAATCCAAGATTTTTACTAGATTTTATTATTTTTATGTACTGTTTGATTTTTCATATTGCTCTGATATGACGGTGAGAGCCGTAGTCTGCATACTAATAAAAATTGTTTTTTATTTTTATTTTTATTTTTTTTAAAGAACCGCGGAAAAATCCAAGATTTTTACTAGATTTTATTATATTTATGTACTGTTTGATTTTTCATATTGCTCTGATATGACGGTGAGAGCCGTAGTCTGCATACTAATAAAAATTGTTTTTTATTTTTATTTTTATTTTTTTTAAAGAACCGCGGAAAAATCCAAGATTTTTACTAGATTTTATTATATTTATGTACTGTTTGATTTTTCATATTGCTCTGATATGACGTTGATAGCCGTAGTCTGCATAGGAACGCCTAACTAATAAAAAGCTCCTTTTAAAAAAACCCATGCCAATTACTCAAGAGGTTAAGTCAAAATCAGGCAAATTTTGCCTACCTTCCGCCAACTAAAAGTACACAAGGACGCTGATCAAACACAACCATTAAATGCAAGACTTGGTAACTAAAGAAGCTAAAAAACGCAATCTAAAAAAATAGTAACAAAATGATAAAATTGCAAACGAAGAAAAGGTCAAATGAATGAATCCAAGTTGTTAAGAAAAAAATAAACAAATATCCTTTTAGAATGTACGAGTCTAAATTTTTACCTCTTAATATTAATTAATATCCTTTTAATTAAATAAATATATTATATTAATTAAAAGAATGTAATTATGAATAAGGAATAAAAATCAAAACTCATACCACTACGGGGCTTTAAAGAAAAACTCACCAAAGCCGTTGCCTATTCTATTGACTTTGGTCTAAAGGATTGCGCGTCTACCGCACAATCGTGGCATGTGGCTTTGCAAGTCAGTCTAGATCTCAATGTAATAACTCTCATCCCACATTGAGATATAGATGGCATGATCCCGCATTGTCGTCAAATCCAAACTATACTTTGATGACTCGGGCAAGTTTATCTAGTACCAAACACCAAAATCCTTCATAGGCAGCAGAATTTCACAATCGCTTCAAAACTCTGTTTCTTCTATCAGGCAAATCAAAACAAATTATCACAGGCTTTTCTCCATTGATAATCCCGAATATCGCCAAGCCATCTTCAGCATCTGCCTCTCCTGTTCAGCAGAGAAGGAGATACGGGCGTTACTAAATGCAGGCCAAATGTTATGAAACCTAGCTCATTGATATGCAACTTGGACAAGATTTAGACGTAACTTTATCATATTAATCAAAAATTGCAACAAAATATCATTTATTCACGTACTTCCAACTGTGATTAACAGGGACCACTAACAATCAATGTCAATAAAATTTCATCACTGGATCTTCAGATAAGCATCACATTCAATATACTTTCGTCAGGCAGTCAAATTATGTGGCATTAGTTGCTTACCACCATCATCGAACCACGATTTTCAAATAAAATCAAGAGCACATGAAACTGGTACGGACTGACCAAGCAATGAGAATAAAGCTCTTCATCATGATGCCAATGCATAACCTATATCTGATAATGGGGTAATTGGCAATGAACGAATACTTAAAAAAAAGGAATTCAATCTGCAACACCAAAGTATTGAGACACAAAAAACAGCCATACAAAGTTAACAGTCACTGACTACAAATTCTTGTTGAGGTTTCTTCCTATGCTTGAGATGAAGTAATTCCGTGCTATAACGGCTCTATAGAAAAGCAGGCAATAACCGAACAGTGCAGAAAGTTCAATGCAGCTAATTCCATTTTTGAAAGGAGAACAAAACACCAAAACCAAAACAAAACAAAACGAAACAAAGAAACAAACACAGACATGCACACGCACACAGACACCATCAGGTGCACGGGAATCTACGTTAACTGCAGGTGTATCAATGTAAAAGACGACGACAGAAACAGTCATCTGACTGGCACTCTAAATTATTCTTTTTGAAGAAATTTCAAACACAATCAGAAGGAAAAGAAATCACCTTACAATTTACCTTACGAACTTCAACAGGAAGACAAAAACTGCCTTCATGTTCTCTGACATTTGCACTTCTCTCAAACAATTTCCAAGAAAATATTCCAAGAGAGAGCTAGGGGTACATAGAAATCAATTCATCAACCCGACATGGTCTAATGTTAATAACCATTGATTCATTAAAGAAGGGCAAAACCTCACAACACTGACGACGAATAGCCTTCATCTGGAAATGAACAAGCAGACATTCACAAGATACACGTTACTTGAAATGAGCAATCTAAGAATGAAAAACATGGATATAGTCACAAAATTATACATTGCCAGTTCAAATTTTACCTGTTCAATATCCAGCTCTAGCGTCTTTGAAAACACTCTAATGTATTCCAGATTTTTTGTTGCATTATCTTCGGGGCAATTCCCAGCACTGTATCTTGCATAGTTGCTCTGAATACCATTCTGATCAGATATGACGCTTTCCAGAAAAAATGCCCCAGGTCCCTTACATATATCCTTAGGAAAATCTCTCATGTTAAACATATAATGACTTGCATCAACACGAGCACTCCTTCTCCATGGCGTAAAGGTTTTCTGAACAGAAAGGAGATCTGGAAGAAGTTCGTTGCCTTCAAACACCTGAATCGCATAACCCCAAGCTACAGAAATAGTCAACAAACGCGAACTATCATAACAAACTGTTTGCTGCAAAATCCTGGCAGGATCAACATTCACAGCTTCAAAAAGACGCTCCAAAGCCTGAGTCCTGTTTGTATTAGGGAAGATCGGATCCACAGCATCCAAGTGATGAAGCGACAACAAAGGTGATAGTGGATGTGCAGACAGCAATCCAAACAAATTCCCACGCACATCAACCTGATCGAATGCAGTAAAATCATAAATTGCATTAGTGACTCAGCACCCAACATCTAAACACATTTTACTCGATTTGAGAAGCAATCTAGCACTAAGATAACTGGAACGAGACTCGATTAAAGACCAGACTTTAGAAGTTATATTGGGCTACAACACAATTTTACCATGGGGAATTTAGACACAGAGTGAAAGAAAGGTAGAAATTTATTGCAGGTCAAACAACAGAAGTCCAAACATTCATCGTCTAATATCCTTGCAAATAAGGACACAACGAAACAATAGCATGGTAAGAGTAGGAAAAACATGTTATACTTCGATTTATACAATGTTTGATTTTCCAGTAGATGGTTTCACAGTTTAAGTGTCCAGTCTGCCTGACTTATGTAAATTTTTACTCAGCAGTTTCCGAAACTAAATATAAATCTCCATCACCATTCACACAATATAACTCAATTGAGTACCTTAATTGCCCAAATGAGATAGAATTGAAGTTTTTCCTATAATGTTATATTACGTAATGCAGAACTTTACGCCTTACCAAACTTACAACAAAACCAATGCACCAACAGATACTAAAAAAAAAAATAATAATAAACATTAAATACAATTAAAAAGTCTTACTACATTAAATAATATATGCACAAAACACAAGTTAAAACTCAAAAGAAACAAAATTTGCACCTGATGAAATCCCGGTTCATGCGTCAACCCAACGCCAAGCTCGGCCACGCAGGAGAAGACCCTAGCGTCGCTGCCGTACAAGTGCGCGTACCTCACCAAGCAGGAGTCGAAGACCTTGGCCAGAGCCCTAGCGAGGGAGCTGCTGATGGCGAACCCTCCGCCGCCGAACGCCATGTCGAACGAGTTCTTGGCATTCTGCTCGTAGCCCTCGGAGTTGCTCCCGACGTAGAACCACCGCTCGTGGTCGTACTTCGACAGCGTCCTCACCAGATTATCGACGAAGAACACCGTATCGTCGTCGCCGAACACGAACCACCTCACGCCGGGCTCGCCACGATCGACGACCTCCTTGACGACGCGCGCGACGCGGATCGCCGATCGCAGGCCGCCGCGGAAGGTGTAGGGGAACCTGGAGGCGTCCTCGGAGACGATAGCTGGCGGGAGGGAGGGATCGGGGTCGGATAGGGGTTCGGAGCTGTCGAGGAAGACGAAGGCGCGCGTGGACTTGGGGTTGTACCAGAGGCGGACGTAGGGCTTGCGGCGGCGCCAGGAGCGAGCGGAGGAGGCGATGGAGAAGAGAAGGTGACGGCGGTGGGTGGCGGAGGCGGAGGTACCGGCGGGGACGGGGAGGAGAGGAGGGGGCTGGCGGAGGAGGAGGAGGAGGATGAAGAGGAGGGAGAGGAGGAGGAAGAGGGTCTTGAGTCGGGAGGGAGTGAGGAAGGGGATGGGCATAACTTGGCGTCTGTTGTTGATGAGGTTGTTGTTACGGTGGAGCTCTTGCATTACATCGGCGAGGGGTGGCGATGGCGGTGGAGACTCTTGAATGGAATCGGTGGAGCCGTGGAGGTGACGGGTGTGAATTTTCTAAAATGGTTCAACGAATTCTGAAGAAAACCTAGCAAATTAAAAAAGGAAAATTCTATAGTAGGAGATAGGACTGTAAAAAAAAACCGTAAAACTCAAACTGACCGTTCAAAATTAAAAAAGACAGTAGCACGTGAAACTGAAAATAGTTACTTCGGTTAATCGATGGAACTCTTTTAAAAGTATTTTAGTTTTAGGTTTAGAGGTTCGGTTTACCGATTGAATTATTTTTTTTAATATTGTCATTTCTTACTTTTATTATTCGTTATGCTGTCATTTTTTACTTTCATTATTCTTTATGCTGTCCTTTTTTTTTTCCTCCCTTCTAATCTCCTCTGAACTCTCATTCTCTTCATTTCATCTGTTTACTCTTTCACTCTTACAGTCTCTCGACTCTTAGTGATTTAGATTTTAGACATTAAATTTGAATATTTTGTGTTTGTGATATTATCAATTTGCATGTTGTACTTTGTTTTTATTTATTGTGATTACAGATTTGTATAGAATGAAAGTTTTACATTTTTTCAGATTTTTTAGTTAAAAAATGCAACTAAAATTATTGGTAATTTGATGGTTTACTAAGGGCTACCTTCCTTATTATCAAAACTGGAAACAAACTAAAAACTGAAGTCGGTTAAATAAACCGACTACTCCTTTGTGCAGTTCGGTTTCGGTGCACAGTACCCTAGTAGGAGATGTATCGATAGGGTGAGAGATGTAGGTCCCGTTTAGTTCGCTGATTCAAGTTTTTAATTCGAGTTAAAATGTGACTTTATGTAAGAGCTTTTTACCGTAGTAAAAAAGTTAAATGTAACTGTTTCTGAGAGTTTTTTTATTGTAGTAAAACTCGAATCGGTGAAATAAACGGGTCCGTAGACTGTTGGATTAAACTAGTACTCATAGTAACTAAGGTGAAGATTTAGGGTTGTTCTTTTGCAACGAAACTCATAAAAAGTTTGAACTCGAGTTATAACTTTATTCAAATTCACGTTCTTTTGTAAAATTTGAGTTTGAACTCGAGTTTATGGCTAAACTCAAGTTCAAGTTTCCCCTTCAACTCGAGTTCATAAACTCAAACTCAAGTTAATGAACAATATTTTTTCTATTCTTAAAAATGTCATAACTTTTTCGTTTTAATTCTAATTGAGATGATTTTTTTCTATGCATTCATAACGAAAAGACAAATAAAACCTCACCCATATATTATATTAAAATTTTTCATCACTATTAAGTTTTTATTAAAATACTATCTAAATATAAATTTAGTTTTGACCTATCTAAACACAAACTCAAAAACATTCTCAATTCAAATCATACCTCAAATGTGCACATCTAAACACAAACTCAAGTTACAACTTCAACTCAAATTATAACTCAAACTTAACTCAAGACCATCACTCAAGTCACCATAACTCAAAAATGCAAAAGAACAATCCAAATACACAAATTCTTCTTTTTAAGTTCCATAATTACAATACTACCCCATTGATTCATAAAATTTCAATTTATTCTAATTAAATCTTATCCACAAGCTCTAAACTAAGTTTAGATTTGAGCCTTCAATTACTAACCCTAATATCAAAAAAACTTGACCCCTCCAATCTTTCAGAACATTCCACGACGCCGATCAACAACCCTTCTGCTCCCCTTCGTCGTCGTCTTTGTCTAGCCTTCCACCAGAGCCCCATCGCCGTCGTCTCCGTCTAGCCTTCCACTGTAGCCCCTTAGCCCTCATCTCCGTCCAGCCTCCCACCGGAGATTCATTGCACCCTACCCTCGCCCTAAAGTTGTAGCGACCCTCCTTTGAGGCCGCCACTGTAACTAACTTTTTAACTTGTACTTACTGAAATTTCTTAAAATTTACGGAACATTTTTTTTTAAAGGTCTTATAATAAACATAAAATACGAAATTGCTTTCTTAATTAAAATATTCAAACCTTAACATATCTGTTTCAGAATCATAATTAACAAAACTATTTATAACATAAAGCTGATTGCGAAAAGTAAGTTCACATGAATAAATATGCATGAGCCAATTATGCTTAATTATGATGTCTTATCAGAATCTTATTATCTTATCTTATCTTTCTTACTGATGGGCCCGAGTGCTCATACCACTTGCGCGCAATTATCGGGACGTGAGGGTTTGCAAGGTCCCCCATGACACCGTGATTATAACTTGAATGCCTCCCTTGAGTCGGAGGACATCATTATTATTATTTTTTTTTTCTCCCTTGTGGAGCTTGAGTTACCTCCCTTGTGGAGGCTGGTACGGCACTCAACTGAGATTAGTCTTATAAGTTCCTCTTGACTTATTAAGGTGTATGCAATATGACCTAGCATAGCATACTATATCATGTACTCGAACACATATAATTCGGGTGTACTGCTGAAGTGTATGTAGTATAACATAGCATATCATTCATAACATTAAATGTACTCAAACATATATAGTTCATGAGTACTGTTTACTTTAAAATCTATTTATACTGTAGGCGAGATTCCTACTTACTTGATTTTCAAAGCTGGAATCCCTTTTTCGCCTAGCATTAGGAATGCAGATGTTAATTCCATAAATCCTTCAATCACAAAATGTACATAGTATAATGATTTTCCAGGAAAATCCTTGACTTAAATACATGAATTACATTATTAAAATTCTGAAATTTTCTTGGTCACTACAATCTACCCCCCTTAAGAAATTTTTGTCCCGAAAATTAGAACAACTCGGGGTAGCTTTTCCTCATATCTTCTTCGCGTTCCCAAGTAGCTTCCTCAATATTGTGATTTCGCCACAAGACTTTAACTAGAGGAATTACTTTATTCCTTAAAGTTTTCTCCTCGCGAGCCAAGATCTGGACTGGTTTCTCTTCGTAGGTGAGGTCCGCGTTCACTTCGCCCGGTTCCTGGTGCAATACATGCGACGAATCTGTCACATATTTCTTCAACATCGATACATGAAAGACGTTGTGTACAGAAGTTAATTCTGGCGGCAATGCTAGTCTATATGCGACTTTTCCAATCCTTTCAAGGATCTTAAAAGGTCCTATGTATCTCGGACTGAGCTTCCCTTTCTTGCCAAATCTCATTACCCCTTTCATCGGTGCCACCTTCAGAAAAACTAAGTTTCCTGCCTGAAACTCCAGTGGCCTGCGGCGTTTATCTGCGTAACTCTTCTGGCGACTGTGAGCTGTATCTAACCTCTCTCTGATAAGTCTCACATCCTCTGTGGTTCTCCTAATGAAGTCTACTATTTCAAGATGCTTCTCCCCTGGTTCGTACCAGTGAATTGGGGACCTGCATCTTCTTCCATATAGAGCTTCGAAAGGTGCCATTCCTATTGACGCGTGATAGCTGTTATTGTAGGAAAACACTATCAAGGGTAACTTCCTATCCCAGTTTCCCTTGAAGTCCATAACACATGCCCTCAGCATATCTTCTAGGGTCTGGATGGTCCTCTCAGATTGGCCATCTGTCTGCGGGTGAAAAGCCGTACTGAACTTTAGCTTAGATCCCATTGCGTCATGTACATTTTTCCAAAATCTTGATGTGAAGCGGCCGTCTCGATCCGAAATTATGGATTCTGGAATTCCATGCCACGCTACTATCTTAGACATGTAAAGTTCGGCCAGCCGCTCAACAGAATAACAGAGTTTGATCGGCAGAAAGTGTGCGGATTTAGTCAATCGATCCACGATTACCCAAATCACATCGTTACCATCGGATGTTCTGGGCAACCCTACCACGAAATCCATCGTGATTTGGCCCCACTTCCATTCTGGAATATCAATCTTCTGTAGTTCTCTTGCTGGACGCTGATGCTCTGCTTTAACTTTCTGACAATTAAGGCACTTCGATATAAATTCAGCCACGTCCTTCTTCATTCCTGGCCACCAAAAGCTCCTTTTCAGATCCTTATACATTTTAGTTGCTCCCGGATGAACAGAGTAAGGCGTTTCATGTGCTTCTGAAAGGATCTGCTTCCTCATTTCCTCATCTTTAGGGACGCATATCCTACCCTTGTGGAGGAGTGTGCCGTCCTCCGTGAGGCTAAACACCATTTCTTTACCTTCAAGAACTTCCTCCTTTAACTTCACCAAGGTAGGATCAGATTCCTGACTACTCTTCATGTGCTCGAGGATGGTCGGCTCTAGGGTGAGAGATGATACCTTCCCTGAAATTATCTCAATTTCAAGGTCGTGTATGTCCTTCTGCAGGGGTTGTGGCAGAGCATGGATTGCCATTAACGTTGCTAACGACTTCCGACTTAGTGCATCCGCCACCTTGTTTACTTTTCTGGGATGATAGAGGATCTCACAATCATAGTCCTTTACCAATTCCAGCCATCTTCGTTGTCTCATATTCAACTCCTTCTGCGTGAAGATGTACTTGAGACTTTGGTGGTCTGTGTAGATCTCACACTTCGCTCCATACAGGTAGTGTCGCCATATTTTCAATGCAAAAACCACCGCTGCAAGTTCTAAGTCATGCGTCGGGTAGTTCCTTTCATGATCTTTAAGTTGTCGCGAGGCATAGGCGACCACCTTTCCTCCTTGCATGAGAACGGCTCCTAATCCTTTCTTAGAAGCATCGCTGTAGACTACGAAGTTCCTTTCATCTGCATCTGGAATGGTCAACACTGGTGCGCTGGTGAGTCTCCTTTTTAGCTCCTGGAAGCTTTCTCCACACTTCTCGGTCCATTCATACTTCCTTTCCTTCCGTGTGAGAGCCGTGAGCGGTGCTGCTAGCTTTGAGAATCCCTCCACAAAGCGTCGGTAGTATCCTACTAAACCCAGAAAACTATGTATCTCTATCACACTCCTCGGAGCTGACCAATTACTAACTGCTTCGATCTTGGCGGGATCCACGGTAACTCTTTCCTTGGATACCACATGCCCTAAAAATTGTACCCTTTCTAGCCAAAATTCACACTTTGAAAATTTGGCATACAACTGGTTCTCTTTCAATATCTGTAGGGTCGTCTTCAGATGCTCCTCGTGCTCTTCCTTCGTTT